ACTATAATTAAATTTATTAAACCTAATTATCCTCATTAATCTTGATAATGAATAAATTTTATTAACACCATTAATTCACCCTTTACCGAACATGCATTTTGTTGATTCATGTCACTTGCATAACTAATTATAAGTGACTGCTATGGGTATATATTTAGGTGAGTGCTTTTACTTTTAAGACAATTTCACAACTTCATTCCTTTACAGATTCATACACGTAAATTCTATATTGTTGAAATGATTTTCTTTTACCACAGTTTCTATTGTACATACTTCCCACCACTGATATTTTTAGAATTTGAGCTGAGTATCATATTTATATTTTTCACAAATCATTTTCAAATAAATTCTTGAATATCAAATTAAGGTAAGAATACATCGTGCAAAGTGGTAAATTCTTATTCGTTGATATTTGTATAATTTTTGGCATAAAAAGCTATAAGGCATTTGGGTCGAACTCTATGTTAAATCCTTCGAGATGGAACTTTAGGTTAAAGATGTTAAATTCTACAGGATGGACTGTTTGATCAAAGATGTTAAATCCTACGGGATATAAGGATTCTTAAGAAATTCCTTTAACTCTAAATCTAAGAAATGTTAGTATATTATGTCAATTTTATATTTAGATCATGTGAATAAGAATGTGTATTGAGTGTTTTCAAAATATTCAATCTTACAATACCTTTCAGATGAGAATAGATCGTTTGAACGCGTGGAAGATTGACCGAGTAATGTGTGTGAGGTCGCCAAATAAATTTTCTAGAAAAGATAATTGTCAAACTTTTATTTGAAAAATATCTTCATATTGAATTTTGTGCACATTATTTAATAACTATTTTTATACATTTTCAACACTTAATGAAAGTGATATTTCCGCTTAAATTAGACAAAGAAAATATTGGTAACACTTCGAGCCAATTTTTATAAAAAAATAAAATAATGAAGATGAAAAAGATCTTGATACGTTACATTGATAATTTTCAAATAAACAAACTTCAATAAATCCAATATAGTAAACAAGCGAAGCTTGAACATTTTTCTTGTATATTGGCATCAATGACTTGAATTTTACTGAGTTGACTCGTTTCCCATGTATATATAAGAGGAGTTAATTTAATTTTCTATGGACTATGAAAGCGCTTCTCACACGGGAAATTGAAACTTCTTTTTGACAAATATCACATTTACACGTCAGCATGCTTAAGTACACGTCTGACATCAGCACACTAATCCCTTCTCAAATGAATTTCCATCGTGTAAAAAATATCCCAAGGATTTTACAAAAATATTATAAGCAATATATCCGTTTCCTTTAATCTAGGCTTTGTTTGATTCTCATTTTCTCCAAAACATATTTTTCTCTTTTTTTTTTTAACTACGCATTCTTTATTAAAATAATATTATATGTAAATAAAAAAATTTCCCTTATTTCTCAACTATACATTTCTCATCAATTTTCTATTATGGATTTGTTCGGTAATGATTATAAGAATTGATTTTTTAAATATTAGAGAGAAAAGTGGATTCCACCTGTGAGTGAAGAAGTCAAAATAACGACTGAAATAATGAAATAATGGTCAAAATTTTGATTTTTGGGTGAAAATTTTTTACCAAACGAAGGCTATAAAATGCATTTTTTCATAAAAATGGAGCTCAAACACTCTCTTAATTATATTAAAGTAAAAATAGAGAAATTTAGTATAAAAGTTTATTTGCTATGTATATGAACGTGAGAAAAAAAAAGTTTTGAAGTTTTTTATTTTGGACTCGAAAGGATAAGTATGTACAAATACGGGTCAGAGAACAAAGCATTGACCATTGAGCACATTTGCAAGAAATTTTGCTGGTATACTTTCAAATCTTATCCTATGATAAAAGCGTGTAAGATATTATAATAATTGACTCAGGTATCATAGTCAAACCGATCACCTCGAACAATTCTGCACGTACAAAATTATTTATACAGAATAAAAATAGGGTACTCACATGGGGTGGGGCCCATGTGAGTATTATATTGGAAAAAAATACACCACCCACCCCATGTATGTGTGTATATTTTGAATTTTTGTAAAAAATTTGTTGAATAATTCTGTACCCATAGCAACACTCCCTCTTCAACTTCTGATCTTTCAATCAATTAATTATTTTATATCAATAGAGATCGATTCATAGCTCAAATATTGATTCTACGATCAATTAATAAAGATTCCTTGTGCATAATCTTCAACAAAATTACGAATGAGAGCTATCAATCTAAGCCCAATTCTTTCGTAAGGATGAGGGCCTCCACGATTTTCTTTTCCATTTTGTCCCGGGAGGATGGAAAATTCATTCACCATGTCTCACTCGATTTGTCTCATCCTTCCTTGAGTTGTTAGAATCCGATCGAAACGAGCAAACGGTAACATCTCCAATCACGCTACCAATTTTCACGTTGACATGTTTCAGCATAAAATTGGTAGATTACGAGTTTTCACATTGACTCCAATACCGCTATAAACTTCTTCGTAAAACATTCTCGACTTGTACAAATCGTGATTAGCAAGCAAATGATGTATTGGCCCATAGCGTGTATACGTGATCCATGACCTTACATTGATTGTGATGTGTCCAAACCTGGAAGCTGCTAGGTGACTTCACGAGTAAGACCAGATGTCTATTCTTTCTCTTCGAATCGCCACTTTCTTAATTTCATATGTACCTCGACTCGATTGAACTAATCCAGTTAAATCCAGAACCGAGTTAGCTCTTTCCACTTTTGTTGTCGTGTTGTGTAGGCGGATGAGGAGGTCAGTGGGGTCTTATGTCCATTTTCGATTATTATTATTATTATTATTATTATTATTATTATTATTATTATTATTATATTAAAAAATTGTAATTTAACTAGGTTCTTCCGATTTTTGGGTACTGGCTCCGCCATTGGATGTGTCAAATCGGATCATATTCTTTGATAATGTTAACATCAATTAATGTGTAAACCCCCCCCCCCCCCCCCGCCACACACACACACACACACACAAAATTAAGTGAACCTGGCTGAAAAATGGAGAAGACGACAGTGACAATATGAACGTGGTTGGAAAATGTAACTTTCATGTAGAAAAGTGGTCTAATCAATAAGAATTAAAAAGAGCAACGGAGACCTTCCTCGAATTTTCTTATTTTCTTGGGACTTACGGGAGGCGGAGGCCTATGTTGAAGGAAATGTATTATGGTCATATTTGTTTTATATAACTTTTTTTATTTAATAATTTGATTTATCCTCACCTCGATCTGATTTAGTATCAAAATAAAGAATTAATTGGACAATTGGATATTCGAGAGACAAAAAATCGTTAATTTAAATTGTGATTATCTGATTCAAGGGAAAAAGATCCGTTGGATTTTTAACAATCAGAGTCAATACTATTTAGGACATGTTCGGTATTAATTATGAGAATTGATTTTTTGACCGTTAGAAAGAAAAGTGGATGCCACCTGTGAGTGAAGAAGTCAAAAATAACGATTGAAATGGTGAAATAACGATAAAAAAATTAATTTTTTGGGATGAAAAATTGCTAACGAACGTTTAATTATATTCTTCATATTACTTGTAGAAGAATTTTGGAAAATTAATAAATTTATTTGACATGTGCATACTACTAATGATACATAATGTATGTAATGGTTGACAGCTATGAACGAGATTAAATAAGTAAAAATTTTGCAGCATTAAACGCGTAGTAAGTTACAATACAAATGAGTGTAAAAGTCCAAAGGAAACAATGGTTTGCTTATGATTCTTGGGTTGGCTTGGATCGAGGTATTGTGCGAACGTATATGAAGGATTTTCTTTGTATTTGTTTAGGTTTAAATTACATGGACTTTTTACATATTCTTATATTAGTTG